TATATATATATATATATATATATATATATATATATATATATATATATTATAGGGGGTGCCCCCCAGATAAATGATCCCATGCCTTTCTGAGGTAGGGAACATTTGTCAGGGAATAATCCCCCCACTCATCCTGCCTCCTGCTCCCAATAACTATGATTAAAGGGTTAAATACCTGGACCATGATGATTCGGCCTTTTATGTTTTGCATGAGCTAGTTAAAATCTCATTTATTGGTTGGTGTGTGCATTCCTTGATAAATATTGGTTGAACTAACTAAAAAGCGAGAAACTGAATTCTGCACTTTTCAGTGATAGGCCTTTGACACCTTCGCAATGGTAGAATCATTGTGGTGTAGACTGCGGTTTTTATTTCTCGTGTTGCTATTTTGTCAAATGTGCAAATTTTGTCTTCCTTACAAGAATATGTCGGTCCACATGTATTCTAGTTCTTTGAAATGTTTTGGGAATTTTTGTCCTTGTAAACATACATGCTCCCAAATTCAGGATGATGAAATTGAAATGCTTGTCTGCAGAGCGCGTTGGAGCAGATGTGGTGGAATGTGCATGTGTCATTGGGCTGCCTGAACTTAAGGTTGGTTGAAATTTTTGATGATTGTTGTTCGTTTCCTTTTCTATTTATAGTAGGTTAATTCGTCTCACTCCTGGTTAGTCAGCACTGGATGGATGATGCATTTTTTGGTGCTGATATTGATGTGGTCCAGAATTTCATTTTTGTGCATTATTTTCATGCTTTCCTTTTATTGACTGTTTCGCTAATTAAAGATCGTAATTAGTGTTTAGTTTTGTCTGAAGGCGTTCATACCTAGGTTTGAATGTGCTTGGATTTATTTGTGTATGTCTTCTGTGAAGCTGTAAAGTGAACACTGCTGACACTAATCAATAATCAATGAGTATCGTTTATCCTATGCCCCAATCAATAATCAATGAGTATTGTTCCCAAATTACGGGGGGCACCCCCCCTCGCCCCAGCATTTTTTTTCCCAAGTTACCCCCCTGTCCGGAAATCGAACACCGGATAGGTGGGGTTTTTACGTTTAAACAAAAAGATTTCTGGTGTTCAAAATACAGGACAACTAGCTTTGCTCTTTAAGTTATATGGTCCGACCATTAAAGAGTAGAAAAATGAACGGTGGTGATGTAAAAAAATGCGCAAGTTTGTTTGGCAGGGCATTCTCTCCATTCTCCGTCTCTCTCTCAATCTCTCGTTCTCCCCCCCTCTGCTGCCCTACCTCTCTCAATCTCGCTCCCAGAATTTCATTTTGTGCAGTTGTGCTGCCCTCTCTCTCAAAATCTCCCAATCTCTCTCG